AATAACAAACCGTCGCCGTCGTTGTGTGTGTGTGTGTGTGTGTGTGTGTGTGTTTCTGTTGCGCGTTTCCGGCTGCGCAGACGCTCTGGACGACTCATACTGCCGCGCGGAGAGACCGCGCATATACACGGTTCGATACACTCGATTTTCACTTATTCCCGGCTCCGCGCAGATACAATAACTCACAAACAACCGGAGAGGTCTATAATATACACACTATCCACTGTAGTCTAATACGCATCCATATATGTATGTAAAATACGTAAACCGAATCCCCGGCAGTATATTACACGGATAGCGCGTAATGTGTAATGATATTAAATCTGTGTGCACACACACACTGTAACGCACGCGCATAATATACACTGCTGTGGTGGTTTGTCTACAGTATACTACTATTATTATAGACACTATAGCCAGTACGTACAACTGCCACCACAGTGTAATATTATATTATATAGGTATACGAATATTGTTACAAAACGTATCGCGGTTTGTCGCGGATGTTTTACTCTCGGATAATGGCCTCTAATCGTCCTAATATATTACATATTATATTTTTATTTCTTATAAAACGTTATAACGTTACGACGATATATATGTACAGCCGTTATAACATCATTATGTAGTACATAATATAGTAATAGTAACAATAACAATATATATAGACGAAGGCGTGTAATATTATGTATATATACAGTATTATGGCCTAATATATAGGTACACCTTACACTGTATACGATGTGAGTTTATTAGTTATATATCATATTATTCACATTTCCTTAGACATTTTTTTGTATGTTCATTCTCTTTTTAATCGCGTTAAAATACCGTGTAGTATATTATATATACCTTCGGCGGGTTGAAAAAATATTTTTGTTTTTCACGTGTGGAGGAGGTCTATATAGTGTTTAACGAAATCTGGTAATGTTTCCGTTCGTGGAAAAAATGTTTAATATTATGTGTAATTTAAAACGGATAAAACCGACACCTACGCGAAATCTCAGTATGGAAATTACGACAATAATTTACAACTTTTTCAATAAAACTAACTGATCGTTAAATAACACCGGCCCGCTGTTGCGGTGACGACGATAGTGTGCCGTAATGTATAATCGGTTGTTTCGGAGGGAGTGTCTTGGACGGAAATAGATACAATGCGGACTGTTCGTTAAGACACAGGAAAGCCGCTCCTCTATCCTTTAGAGCCGCATTACAGTAAACCTTCGACGGTAATAATGGAAAAAAAAAATAAACAATGATGACGGAGCAAAACTAATTATCAGTTTCCGGTAATTGCGTTTATTTCTTCTTTTTTTTTTTTTAATCGTTTAAGGAGAGGCTCGGCTCACGAAACCAATATCCATACTGCAATGTATACTTATCATAATTATTATTCCATCTATCCGAAATCTGTTTTAACTCGTCCATATAGTAAGTTCTCTAGCCGTCCGACGCTGTTATTAATATTTGATAGAATAATAAACGTATATTTTTCCATCTGGTTGTTCTAAGAATAGTTTATTCCCAATTTCGGTTCATCAATAACTGTACGAAATGTTGAAATTTTGTGGTTCTTTCGGTTTAACAACGACGCTAAATCCTCGACGATCGACGCCGTGGTGCTTATCTTGTGACAAACGTCTTTTAAATTGCCCCTGTGTTTGTGTGTGTGATATTAAATACATTTATATTTCTCTCTAACAATAATTATTATTATTATCCTCACGAACGGTTTACGACTGAAGTCTTTTGATTAAACGCCCCCGCTGCAGTGGTCACGCCGCCTGCCGTCACGTCACCGTGGTCTGAGTTTCTGAACAAACACATTATCGTTAATACTATTATTATAGGTACACCTATAATTGACCATTGTTGTTTTTAGAGTGTATACACTTTGAAACGTCGTCCTCCTCTTGTCCTCCGAAATTTATTTGCAAGCAGCGTTGTACCATTTCGCTGTCACGTCAAGATAATGTACCGTGATTTATACATAAAACTCGAGCGAGTCATCTGGCTAATTGTTACAAGGGTTGGAGTGAAATCGTCCCCTCTCTCTCTCTTGTCCCGGTTTACCGGGTCCGAATTCGTCATCGAGACCCGTTTTGTTTGCACCGAGTTTGTTTCCCGAGACGATTAGTCAACGTTATTATCTCCTATTAAAACCTCCCCGGACCTCGTTTCCTCAGATCTGTAACCCCGCATTAATCTTCCCAGCAAACGTTTTTGTCCCCCGAAAACGTAATTAATCGAACAGCATCCGACATTTGACTAACTTCTCGGAACCCAAACGGCTAAATCTTCTTTTACGGTGCCTTTGTACCGAGATTATTTCATTTCGAATCGATACAGTACAACAATATTATAATTTATTATTATTATTATTGGTACTTGCCAGTCGGTCGGTTCTTGTTGTCGGTTTACTTCAACGTTAATGTCACAAGTCCAAATACCACAGACTATAATATATATATATATGTGTGTTTACAACGTAGGTACTTAAAATATGATGTAATACATATTATGGACGCGTCGTCTATTCGCTTGAAAATTCTTACACAATTGAAATGCCTAAGCAGTTATATATAATTATTGTCTTGATAATTTGTCACTTTGTGTTCGGTTTTTCGTGAACAGAAATGATGTACCGTTCAGTCAACATACATATATATATATATATATATAATTATTTTCTTCTTGATAATAAATTAGACCTTTCCCAACCTAACCTCATACCTCATACCCAACTCGTCACGTTTGGTTATGATAATAATTATATTATGAATTTTTAAAAACAAAATACGATTGGTTCCGATCCTCGATTTTTCAATTCTTAAAAAAAAGCTGCCGATTCACTTAAGTTTGGTGACATCTCTGTGACTCGAGTCTATATTATATATATATACATACAACATTCACGACAGTGTAATTCAATATTTCGCTCTCGTCGTTTCCGACCAACCACGAACATACACTTTGCACACACACACATATATATATATATATATATTCATATACATATATATGTTGGTGTTTTTTGTGCGCGCGTGTACACCTATTGGTGACGGTCTTGTTCGTTACCGTTGCGTTTTTATTTGATTTATCGAAAAAGCTTTCGGGTCGTACTGTGCACACCTCTAACCACCTCTGCAGCTCTACCCACACAACGGTATATGTATATATTATATATATATATATATACACGGAATACTGTATGCGTACGGGTACGACTGCAGCGCTGCGCTGTACGCGGCTCTCCTCGGTCCGCAAACTTTCTTCCCTAATGCCCACCCGCCCACACCCCCGCGCCCACAGTTCCGACCATTAATCACGTTGTTTCCGCGTCACGACCATTGTTTTCGGTCCGGAGCGTCACGGCGTTTAAACCACGCGCGCCGAGCAGGGCGCGAGGAAAACCCAGGGGACGCGGTGGCGGTCGCTGTCAGCGGCTCCGCTTCGGGCATCAATCATCCCCGGCGATATCCCCCGCAACGGCTCAGCCCCGCACCTACACGCCTCTTGTCGGTCCCGTACACCCGTCAATATATATATACACACACACACACACACACACACCATCCCGGCCACACACACAACCACCCACCCCCGTAACCGCAGTCGCCTCCCCGACCCCCGGCAGAGGCGCCGCCACTCCGACTCCGGGACGTATTTTATCGTTACACTTTTTACACTCGTCGTCGAAAACAACCTACATAATACGACCTGATCAGATAATGTTGTGATGCGTATATCCAGCATTCTCTCTTACAATAGACTGTAGCCGATTATAATAGTATACATAGTAACGGTGGTCACTGTTTATCAACGATAATATTTTTGATTAATATTCTCATACGTCTTACACATACCTATATCATACATATATAGGAAATATTATGTTGTGCGTTCGGTGTGGATTTTATTGCAATTTTACGTTACATCACGTCACACCTACAATACCGCGCCGTACGAAAGCTTTTATTTATTGTTGATCGGATCTTAACCCACATCAGCAATAATAATAATCATTCTAGTTGAATCTTTGTAAAACGCCTATTTTTAAGTTCATCTCGTCGACAGAATAAGTCGACATCCCTCCAACCACAGTTATGTCACCCCTGCAGCTATATCTGTATTATATAATATACGGATAATACCTACCAACCACGCGATAGGGTTTCTTCACGTGTATTATACTATCGACGTTTGCATGAGGTACAGGATAAGGGCTGAGCAACCACGTGGCATTGGATCGTAGAGGGGAAAGTATCGACCATAGACGTGCGCGCGCACGGGATACCATTGCACACACCATCACCACTCCAAGAGGGATAAATGGGTTATTTCCCCTCGATGGTCCTTTTTTTTTTATTCTTATGCAACACAGTATTAATAGTAAAATTAGAAATTTTGTTTTCAAAAACTGGCTTCCGAAAACTGAAATATAGATATTAAGAAGTCATGTAGGTAATAGACGAGTTCAAAACCCTATAAATATAATTCTATAAACAATTACACGTATTATATTTTATATTTTTACGCCTTTTACTGGGTATCTGAAAAACCTGTTTTCGTTCCGGAAAAAAAAAATGAACAAATGTAAAACGCGGCGCTAAACCGACGTGGCTCGATTTTAGTGTACAACAATTCATGAAACCGGCGTCATCTGTGTACCTCAGCTTATGAACTGTACACAACTATATAATAATATTGTATTCGACCGAGATGGGCAATCCGCCTGTGAACAAAAAAGATAAACTCGTTGTGACTGTTTATATTTTGTTGTGGCACCCTGCGCGTCTCGACGAATATCCAATGACGTCTGTGAATCGCAACGTTATTATATTTTAATAATAATATTATGTTGAATGTTTTCCGGGAAAATAATATCATGCCCTCCACTTAGAACACAATAAGGACCTAACCTTAGTAGTATCACAGCTTACATTCTATATTATTTTAGTATCATATTATAATGGTGTTTTTTTTTTCTGTTACAGGATCACCACAAGCAGTCAGAGCTATTATTACCATGAACTGTTGAGTGTCGACGACAGAAACGATATTGTTCCCCGGAACCCAATGCGATTTGTCGCGTGTCAGTGTGCCGCCAGACGCAGACGATCGGTATGTGCGATAATATTATTATAGTCATGACTTGATTTTTTTTTTTTACGAGCCATTTCTGCGAGTCCGCAAACTATTCGATTCTCGGCGAACTTGCAGCGCTCTCGTCGTGTTATAATTATTATTATTGTTAGGAGGTGCAATAACGCACGCGTATAAATTATATAATGATGATTGATACGACGTAAATAAGACCGTTCTCGTAAACCGATCAGGATTTTGTAACTGTTTACGGTATAGTTCTATTTTCGACGACTTATTTATCCGTTTCCTCCGACCACACCGCCACGCGTTAAAATATATCGTTTTTTTAGAAGATATTATATACTATATTCACACCCATTACCCGTCTCGCATACGAGCCGTATATACTATGTACGCACATATGACGTTTATTTACATTTTATATATATTAATAGCGCATTCGTTGCAAACAATTATATTATTATATACTTTTCGACATTTTCTATTCACCGAGCACTCGTTTCCAATCGTTCAGATATCAACGATAACACTCGAACGCGCATCGTATAATATAGTAATAACTATTGTCCTGGACCCTCCTCCAGCCGCCCCCGAATTCGGAAACCTCGCAGACTCCCCGTTTGCCTGCAGATTCGTTTAGCAACGGTGTTTATTCGAAACGCGTTAATTGCAAACGACGCAAGTGCGTGACACAAGATAGCCGCATGCATGAAATGACATCCGTTCTGGTTTCTCGTGTGTAAACAAGTCTCTCGCGCTCGGCGTTTTTTTTTCGGTTTTTATTATTATTTAACACTCCGTTGGCCATTGCACATAGTGTATCGGCCTTCGCAGCTGGACGGGTGCCCGGCACTGGAAAAAAAAAATTAAAAAACTACGAATTCTAGTGTAGCGCGCGTACACAAGTATATCACCGAGTGCCAAACTGCAGCATGTATGTATACGTTATTATTATATATTTTTAAATTCATCATCTGGCGTTCATATTTTTAGCATTCGGTGCATCATCGGCAATTTCACATATACATTATACGTCTGGTGCAACATTACAGCGATAGACTTGGAGGCACAATAGTTGATGCGGCGGTGGTGATGGTGTTGGCGGTGAACAGTTGTTTAATAATATGCTGTTGGTATATTTATTTTTATTGGTTGCGTCAGTAGTGGTGACGGTATAGTAGTACAACTCATCGATTTTTTCCCTTTTTTCTTTCCCATTTTATAATTCTACGGTTTCTCATTTTGTACGACGCCAGCAGTCTCTATCGAGGGCTCTCATCAATCAAGACTCGAACGTGGTAAAAATCGAGTTCCGACAGTTAAAACTTGTCACGCAACCCTCATTTTGCTCCCCGACCGACGCCAACTACTCTTTCTATCTCTATCTTCCCGTCGGTGTTCCGAGACTTTATCTTTAATTAAAAAGGTCTTTCGATGTATAAAGTGTATGTGTATATATATAGTGTTACGCCGTGATGCACTGTATGCTTTGTGTGTGCGCGTGCGAAAAGTTTCTTATTTTCCCAATTAATATAAAAGCAGTGTCGCCAGACTGGCTCGATCATTATCAAGATACCCCGTTTAGTAGTCCCCAGAGGTCCCCGCGATCCCTTATTATTATACTGAGTGGTGTTTTTTTTCTTTTTCCATAAGTATAGTAAATCAATATAATAATGATTAGCGAATATTGCGCCGCCATCACGTACCTACCTTTATAATATATATATACATCTCAAATTGTCTAGATGGTGTATTAAAATAGTGCAATTAATTTTACATAAAATGCACACGACCGTTGGCTTATTATCAATGTTAAAAGTACGTTTACTTGTACGGTATATTTTGAATCTCATATTATGAGATAGTGTAAAAAAAACCACCGACAGTCAGTTATTATAATTATGTGTGCCGTGTGTGCAGCTGACATAGACTTATATTATACTGAGTGAGTACGTTTGATCTTGCTACTACAAGTACATGTGTCAGATCTCATAATAATTTGATGCTTTTAATCATCAATGTACCTGCCCTATACTAGTCACCTGATATATTATATCACCATAGGGAGAAATCTGTATGCGAATCAACTTTAATTCGATCACGAGCATTATATTTAAATTGATTTATAATAATGTGTGTGCCACATTATGGCAGATGCGTTGTATATATAGTATAATCGGGTCGTACAAATAAAATATATCGAGTTTCACCACGAAATATATTTGGACTTACACAACATAACAAATATCATACCGAAAACCGTATATACAAGTCTCGTTTTATTTTATTTAAAAATTATTTTCGTATATTTCAATGGCTTCTTATAATGCCGTTTCGAACTTCTTCGGCCCTAAACAGTATAATATCATTATAATATAATATTACGTTATTACAGAGCAGAGTCGATGTCACTATTCCACCGACCGCTAAAAGTTTAGAAATCAGACGGTTCGGAGTAAACTTCATTACGCGTCGGCATCCGGCCAAAAGTTAAGTAGATATATACTCCTCTTTTCCCTTATCTTACCCTAGTTTGCCGACGGCGTTTACACACTCCCATATGTGTGTGTGTGTGTGTGTGTGTGTGTGTGTGTGTGTGTGTGTTCGTTCGTATTCAATTAAATTATCCAACGCTCCACCACCGTCGCGAGAGGGGGCGGGGAAACGCGTGTGAGCTGACGCCGCCGCCACAACACACGCGAGAGTTGAGGACTATGCGGAAGTAGTTCCGGTTCGAGAACTGCCAAAAGGTTTTCCGGTTTCTCCGTGTCGGGCTCCGTTAACGAGATAAAACCCATCTCCGAACAAACTTATATGAAACTGTAGTGTGCGGTGCCTGAACAGCGGACTATATGTAGTTGTACGTTGTGGCCGTATAAACATTATAACGATTTCATCGCACCGACGACGAAAACATTATTTCATGGGTCGCACGTATATATTATGGTGAATATAATAACGCGTATATATGCGTGTGGTAATATATTAGCTTCTAAGATACTCTTACGGAGGTTTCGTCTATATATGTCACGCATTAACGCGTTTCACCGTATCAGCTGGCTCAAAACACTTGTGATTATATTATACCTGTCGTGTGGACTTTGCGAGCTAGGGACGTAATCGCGATTCGGCGGATGGACGGTCGCTCCCCCTTGCTTAAACCCAGCAAAAGTTTAAGGAGCCGTTCCAAAATAATTTGCGTTCGAATAATTCGGTTAGACCCGCGCTATGCCAACATTTCAGTGAGTCTAGCTATTCTTGCACGTCTATGAGAAACATAAGATTACATAGGTACACCACTACAGAGCTTATTGTCTTTACGCGATTTAAAGCGCATATTATGTATCATATTTTGTCTCTTACTATCGATTATGTTTCCGATTGTGTGTATTATGACAAATATCCGACAGCCATTACAATGAGTTGTGCTCGTACTTTAATAGCCGTATATTCTGGTCTTAAGGCATTTAAATCCAAATATGGCGTAGGTACCTGTAATAATGTATCCACTGTACATTTTGTTTTTTCCGTCACGAAGCGCGAGAAATCGGTTAACAAGAAATAAGGATAATAACAATATACAGTTATTGTTCAGATGTTATATTGTGATAGTTATTTTTCTTGGCAAAAATAAGCTCTACAAATTAATTTTGAAAAATATGCAAATAAATTACGTATAGCATCGACGACGGACGATTGTTCGTGAAATACACGGTTGTTGGTCGGTCGGTGTGAAATCGCGACGACGATAAGGCGTTCGTCGTCGTCGACCGTCGCCCGGCATAAATCAACGCCTCGCCAGCGGACGGTCGCGGCATACTAATCGAGTACTCGAATATGGTGGAGGTGGTCACAGGTCGTAGTATTTCCGATAAAAGAAAATATATAGATGTTTGAATTAAAAATGTCTCATTATTATTATCGAGTCCGGACGCTGTGCTATAATATAATATTAGGTATATACCGCGGAATGTAGGTATATGGTAATAATAATAATAATAATAATAATAATAATCATTATTACAGCAGTATAATATAATAGTACCTATACTATCGAGAGGCTACCGTCTAGAATCCGAAACGAGATCGGATGGCGTGCGGTACATAGTATATATATATATTTGATATGATATATTTTTATATTATCATTGTTACGATGCAGTGCTGTATATATATATAATATATATATATATATATATATATAATATATATATATATATATATAGCCGAGTAATAGTGAGTGTATATTATGTATACATACGTGTAGGGTGGAGGTGTATTATATATACGTATTTTTATTTTTTACGGCTCTGGCAAAAGTCACGTACTGCGATTTAATTGCGCGTGGCGGGCGTGCGAGCTTCAATCGTAAACCATATTATTTTCTTATCACGTTTTTTGTTTCTTCGTCGTCGAGGGGAGAAAAACTGCAGCAGCGCCGAGCACACCCTGCACCCCGCCCTTGCGTATCGCACATTATATATACATACACTTGTGTGTATTGGTATCCTAAATATATATATATATATATATAATGTAAGGTACAATCGCAATTTTTCCCGTATTGTATATTATTGTAACAATGCGCGATAATAATAATATTATACACACTATCGCGACGACTACGACGACGAAGAGGCACGTCCCCTTACTCGGGTTACGGCATCGTGTGTTTTAATTGATAGTCGTATTATATATATTATGAGAACCGGCCAGGCCATCGGACTTGAATAAGTCGTGCACGGTACACGAAACTTAGACCAAACTATTGCAGCACGCAAACGCCCCACGTTTAAAACCCCCCCAAAACAGCGTCAAATTACTATTACAATGGACGGATTACAGTAGTACAGCCATGAAGCATCGTGTCTCCACCGTTTCATAAGTCCTAACAGTATTAGCCTATAAGATTCGGCCAAATATCACATTAATATAGGTCATTATATGTATATTATTAAGATATTATAGTGGGCAACATACAAATATGAGCATATTCTATTAAGGATTTGAGGAAT